AGATATAAATAAATTTGTGATGATGAGCGTCCAGAATTAAAATATTTGTTAAAAATCCAGTTATTGCTCTAATATTCTGGGACTAGTTTTAAAATACTCGCCTTTTTATTGCGAATAATTTGATACCAAAACGAGCGACGTAGCACAAAATTTGATGTTATCAAATTGAACGAGTTGAACATTAGGTTGCAATTTACAAAATGGTGCTCGTTCACGGGTAACTTTAGGCTTTTCTGCGGGGAGGCACTCCAGCCTTTTGTACATTTTATTCATACACATCTGTAGGGAATTGAATTGCGAACACAATGATACCAAAACGAGCGACGAAGCACGAGAATTAAGGTAAAAAAATGGAACGAGAATGCACGTTACTGATTTTGTGCGTTTTTGCCGACTTTACGCTTTGCTGTTGGGAGTCACGCTAGGCTTTTGGACATTATATTTATACACACCTGTAGAGAATTTAATTGCGAACACAATGATACCAAAACGAGCGACGTAGCACGAGAATTAAGGTGAGAAAGCTGGAACGAGTATACACATTTGGGTGTCACCGCGCGCTTACCCGCACGGAGGGCCCATGATCCCCCTGTCAACCACGAGTTTCCACGGAGCGCGAAAGTGTTAAGAAACAATTTTTTAAGCGGCCAGTCAGTCAATTATCCATGGTATGAGCAGCCGTGTTTCTAGTTCTAATGCAACAGGGCAACCGTGATCAACAGTAGTAGTTAATATCCCACACCATAACAAAAAAAAAACAGCGTTTAATGTAATGAAACTCCATTTTCTGGGTGAGACCCGGAGGCTCCCCAGAGCTATGTGAACTGATATGAATGTATTAGACCCTGGCGTCAGTCAAGCAAATGGAGTTCTTAGGCCTACCGGGGACCACCAGTCAGAACCTAGCCCCCCTTCAGAGAGAAACGAGGAGCAATGGCCGATAGAAACCCACATGTGGTTGGAAGCATTCTATGTCTACTATCAACAGGGTCAGGCACCCAGAAAGGTAGGCATCCCGAAAACAAACCCTATCTGGTTAAAATATTGCTACTGAAAGCCGAACTGTTGGACAGAACTCACCAAACAAAAAACGAGCAAACTAGTATGATGTCACACTGACCACCGCACCATTGTCTGTGCAGCTCCTTCCTCCCCAGGACTGGAAAAGGCGAGCTCCAGACCCCCGTGCTGGCTATCCATACCTTCAGTTCTGTGGCTGGATGTCAAAAAAACTGTGAAAACCGCCAATCAGAGGGAGGGAGGGTTGCCGGGGAGCCTTTGCGTCTCACCCAGAAAATTGCGTTTCATTACATTCAACACTGGTTTTCTGCAGGGAGCCCCTTCGGCTCCCTGGAGCCACTTGACCAAAGATAAAACAAGTGAGACTTACCCGGGAAGCGTTCACCACTTGCTCCTCAACTCGAAGTCGAGACAACTGGCTGCAACCGCCAACCCAATGCGACATGCCTGACTAGGGGCCTGGAACACTGACGAAGTAGCGAGCAGCCAGGACCCTGTTCGACCTCCAAAAACCCAGTGCCCGAATGTCAGTGCCAAGACACGTTACCAAAGACGGCAGCCAAAGCAGCAAACTTATGAATGTCATGGGAACGAAGATTGACCGCAGGCTGGCTGGACTGAATAACCCTGCAGACAACCTGGGAGACCCGAACCCTGGAACAGGGAAGAAGGGAAACCGAGTCAACCCAAAGCGCGTCCCTGGCCACGGACACCATGGCGCACATGTAATGGTTAAGAGCCCAAACCGGACACGACATATGATGCACCCCCGGCTGAACCAACCAAGCATCAACAACCCAAGGACCCCTCCGGAAAGCAGCAGTCTCATTCTTCGCCAGAGAAAAAAAGGAGACAGCTGCAAACGAACAAACCTACCACCAGGACCAAAAGAGCAGAAACCTCTGTGCCGGAGAAGAGCATGAAGCTCCCCAACCTGACCCCCAGAAGCTAATGCCAACAGGAAAAAGAGCCTTCGCAAAACAATCTTTAACCGAAGGGGCCACGACAAACCAATGAGAAGAGAAATGAGAGCACCCTGTCCAATGTCCAGGACGGGTCCCGGAGGTTAAACAATGCACGAGACAGCTTGCAGAACAAGGCAGAAGTAACATCCACCCCGAACACAGGCTGATGCGTCTCCGCCAGTGCCACACGATACGAGGCGACAGTATTCAGAATGAGATGACGGTCCTGAAACAATCAAGACAGAAAGGACAAGACAACCCAATCCGAAACAGAAGAAAACCTGTGAAGGGACAAGAAATAATGAAAGGACTGCCAGGAAACTTTATACTGCTACCGAGACGAGACCCACAGGTGGGACACCATCACTGAAGCCACCTGCTCACCACACAAATGATGATATACCCGAAGACCTGAGAAGATCGAACCAGCTACATAATGGACTGGCCGATCTGCTGAAAGAGGCGGAGCCACAGGAAGACACTCGGGTTCAGATACCGAGCAAGCAACGCCTGAAACCAAGGCTGGGCTGGCCACCAAGGAACCAAGAGGACTACTCTCCCTTGGCAAGTCTCCAAGCAAGCTAGGGCCTAGAGCAACAGTGGAACCGGGGAGAAGTGGTACAGGTAACCCCACCTCGACCAGTCCTGCCTGAAGACATCGACCCCGACGGCCTCGCAGTCGGGGAAGGGCACCACATAACAAGGGGGACGCCTTGACCACGCTTACACGAAGAGGTCCACCTCTGGGAACCCTAACGTCTGGCAGAGTCAATTGAACGAGACAGCGTCAACCGTCCATTCCGTGGACAGGGGAATGAACCGTAACAACCTGTCTGCCAGGACGTTGGAAACCCCCCTGAAAGTGAATGCCCAGGAGAGCAAAACCCTGAGAACTCAGCAGACCGAGTCACTCAAAGCAACAAGCCCAAAAGAGCCAAGGACCACATAGAACACCCGCAGTGCAGGCAATGAACCACTGGGGAGCAATCCAAATTTAGCCGGATCTTCGATCTGTGAGTAAACTTAACCCTCTGGAGCGACATCCACATGACCGCGAACTCCAGCATCGTGCTGTGGGCCTGACGGAAGTTTGGACCCCACCGCCCCTGGTCGGCCTGATGAGCACTGGACACAAAGCCCCAGCCAAGAGATGACATGTCATGGAACTCATTGTGCGAGGGATCGGGTAGGCGCCAAGGCACTGAACCCTGAAAAACCCAAAGAGGAAGCCGGCAACACAGCAACCGACATAAGGCACCCGGAGGCCGAACCCAGCGATCGAGAGAGAAGTGGAAGGAACATTACCAAAGAAACCAGAACAGCCAACGAAGACAAACCACGCCCGGCGGGTAAACCATCATGGCAAAGTTCGGACACCCACACAAGCCCTCGAGCAACCACCACGTGACCTGGGAGCCCCCAATAACAGGTAAAGGCAGGACTGCAGCCCACGAATTGTTGGGACCAGGCATGAGCAAACAGCACGAGCATCCCCCCCCCACCTATCACCCCGTTAATGGGACGAACCACAAAAGACCCAATGCCTCTTATGTGAAGTCAACTTATGAGCACAGCAATTAATGCTCTGACCAGTCGACGTCAGTTCTGAAGGCTGTGCCGGCTCTGAAACTGGCACCACAAGCCTACTACGATGAAAGGAACTCCAAGCCCTGGCACAACCCTTGAGGGAAGACCCCCCCCTCCATGAACCCCCCAGAGAACCAACAAGTCCGACATGAGATGACAACTGGAAGAAGCCGCCTGCAGATACTGCACCACTGCAGACTCTGCAAACAGCAAAGGACGTAAAGGCGTAGAGAACCTAAGAGCCAGGGCCCAAGCCCAAGCGGATTCCAAGGACTGGGCACGCGAGACGAGAAGCAAAGAATAGACACACAGCCTCCTGCAGGATTGGCGCAAACAGCTGCAACAAAGCAGCTGATGCCCACACAGATGAGACCAGCTCACCAGACCCCGGATTGGCCCCGAGCACCTCTACGTCTTCCTCAAGCCACTCCAAAGACAGCTCAATAAGGGAAAAGAAAAGCAAGACCAAAGCCAAAATGGCCACGGGCGAGCAATTCCTCAGCAACCAGGGCAGCCAAAAGGGAGGGAACCTGCAAGTGAAGCTGTGCCAGGCAGACAACCCGAGGGAGGGCAGGGGCGAACAAACACACATTGAGGCACTCAAACTCGCCCCCGAGGTAAAGCTGAACAACCGTAGGGGCTTCTCGCCACTCAAGCGTGTGGAACTGACAGAACGTATGCCACACCCCAACGAAAAGATATGCCAGTCTGCCAACTAGGACGACTCCAGAACCTCATAACACCCAGTAAGGAAAAGAAGAACCAAACTCAAAAGAGGCAAGATCCATTATCGAGGTGTAATCCGGGTAACGCAGGAGGTACGGCGCAATGGCCTCCTGCACCCCATGAGACGGTCTTAAGCCAGAGTCGCACGACTGCCAGGTCTCACATCAGCCACAGAATTGAAGGTATGGATAGCCAGTACAGGATTCTGGGGCTTCTCCTTCCCCCCTCCCGGGGAGGATGCAGACAACGGCGAGGTGGTGACTGCGACATCATGCTCGTTATTTCGTTCAGGGAGTTCTGTCCAACAGTTTGGCTTTCAGTAGCAATATTTTAACCAGATAGGGTTTGTTTTGGGGAGCCTACCTTTCTGGGTGCCTGACCTGGTTGATGACAGACACAATGCTTCCAACCACACAGGGGTTTCTATAGGCCATTGCTTCTCGTGCCTCTTGAGGGGGGCCAGGTTCTGGCTCATGGTCCTCGGTAGGCCTAAAATCTTCATTCACTTGATACATTCATATCAGCCCGGATAGCTCAGGAACGCTGAAGGGGCTCCCTCCAGAAATGAGTTTAAGAGAATTTGTTAATGAGTTTAACCCTACAGAAACCATATTTATTCATACAAAATGTTATGCAATATATTAGTACAATACTGCAATTTAGTACAGTATAACACTTCTCACTTAACAATAGTGAACTTACCGCTGCTTCACCATCATCTCTAGATTCCGGTGTATACTGAGGAAACGAGGAAAGAATTTTTTTTTAGAAAAACAACTAAAGCATGAAGGAACATTGGTTAAAAATTTCAGACAGAAGTACAGTACTGTGTATTCAAAGACTACATTGGAGACAAATTTCAGAGATGAAATGTAATAAAAATTAAGGAAAGCTTTTAAAACAAAGTTAAACATAGGACAATTCATTACAATTAATAAGCAAATGGATGCCAAAGTCAAGACAAATATACGATTTATGCATTAACATCAGCCAAGGCTCTCAATATCCCTCAGTGGCAAAATAGCAAGAGATTTGTTCTTTGGTACATAAATTTTAACAATAGATTAAGGTTTATAAATTAATATTTAGACAAAATATGTCTACTGGCAGGTGTCCATTAGCTATGATACCATATTTTGGAATAATGTATACAAACAGGATAATACTAACCAAAATATTAGTCCAACCATAAATTCAAATGAATTTATGGTGTCTTAGACCATCTATGCTTTTAGCACTAAAATAAAGATTCTACTCTCAAGCCATTTCCAAAGTGCTCTCCTGTCAACAGCCACAAAACAGCTATATTAAGCATCACTCATCATTCACTACCAGTATATATTTGAGTAGAATGCTGAAACAAGAATCTTAATGAGATTAAACTGCATCTATATTTCTTTTCATAAGACCTTATAGTCTGTTAATAATTTTCAAAATTCAAAGTGATACGTTTCACTTTCTTAATACAATATACAAATTATAAGATTTCACTTTGTTTAAAGTACTGTATTAATTATCAATTCAAATAAGATTACCAAACACAAACACAAGCTACCTGCTTGTTTTCCTCAAAATAAGTCTACAATATGAAGTATGATGGTACAATACACCCAGCATGAAAAGAAAAAGAAAATAGCATCAGAAAATTGGTTAAACAGTGTAAAGTGTAAGGAGTAACCCAACAGGCAACAGCATGGAAGCATTAGTTGCACTTCGACAAGCCATGCAATGGGCATCCTGCACCCACCTAGTTGTGCTTGTGGGAGTTGAGCTTCAGCTCTTTGGTCCTGCTATTATGGTATTCTCACTAACAAGGGAATACCATATTTATACCATTCCAAATCTGTTTTATTTTTCAAGCCATCCCTTAATTAACCTTATCTCATCCCTGAACTTGCTCATCTTCAAGATTATGATACAGATCTACCCAGTAGCAGATACTTTCATAACAAATCTTATCCCCATACCAAGCCACTTCAGGAAGTAAAGATGATTTATTAATAATCAGGGAACTGAGATTACATTTCCAGGTCAAAATCAGTTCCTCGTAACCTTGGTTGAATGGTACTTACTGGTGGAATACTAGAAGTAAGGTTTGGTACAGTGAAAATAATACATCTTCCTCCCCATAGATAATATGATACTGCACACCTATATTACATGGAAAAAGCTTTGGGGAAGGGGGGAGGGGGGATAGCCAGCATCAAAATATCTAATAGAATTACCGGTAGAATGAGTTTTAGAAATCATGTGAAAGCAACTTCTTAACTTTGAGGCAGAAGTTCGTATGCTTTGGTGTAATCTTGACAAAAATCGACTTTAAAAGCTGTACACAACATAACAATGAAATGAGCTACAAACTCAAAACAAATACCTTGATAAGCTATCAAAACACCATTAAAGCAGAATTCTGCCAATTCCTCAAAAATACGTTACTCTTGTGAACCCTGACATCCACATTAATGATATGGTTTTCTCAGAGTAAATTTTAAGGCTATCCTGAGGTTATCTTGAGATGATTTCGGGGCTTAGCGTCCCAGCGGCCCAGTCCTCAACCAGGCCTCCTTTTTGTTACACACCCCCCCAGGAAGCAGCCCATAGAAGCTGTCTAACTCCCAGGTACCTATTTACTACTAGGTAACAGGGGCATCAGGGTGAAAGAAACATTTTGCCCATTTGTCTCCAACTCCACGGGATTCGAACATGGAACCTCAGGACTACAAATCCAAAGCGCTGTCCACTCAGCTGTTAGGCAAATCTAATCTCTTTTTGGAATTAATTACCCTATAGCTATGTAATAGTTGTTCTGTAATGGTTGCTCCTAACTCCTGTATGTACTTCATTCTCATACATTTTCTATACAAGTCTTATGAATCTTCTCCAAACATTCGAATCATAGCAAGAGTGCTAACTTTACGACCACACACTTCACATCTCTTCCATCTCATATCATCAACTCTCCTTTCAACCTTTCTATCCTGAATTTTATGTGTCTCTTTTATGTCCATGTTCCCCTTCCATATGTCATGGTTGGAATTATACTGTCAGAATATTTTGTCCATAATCTGTTTGTCATTCACCTGTGCAATATTCTACATTTGTATTACCCCATACTTGCACACTACCATTCCTAACATTTAATCTTGGCCTGTACTAATACTTGGTCACTCATATCATTCATGTCCTTCACTTTGTCATCAAAACAACGGACAGAAACATTTAACACTTCAACCTTGAGTTAGCCCCAAAGATCAACATCCCCCGTGGCCCGGTCACTGACTAGGCCTTACAAAAACATTCACTGTACTCTCTCCAGCATTTACCATCAACTCCACCACACACGGTATAGAACTCACTTATTTTTTAGCTCACACCTACAGTATATTCTCTTAAATAACATTATCTTTACCCTTTCCTACACTGCTTGAGTTGGGTCAACCTTGCTACATGATCACCCTAAATTTTTTGCCTTGGGTATGGATATTTCCAGTGAATAAACTAGGGGTATGGCACAAGCCTTAGCAAATTCATTTCAAACATTGATAGACCCATCCTAATAATTTTAGATAATTATTTTGCTACTAATACTTTTGTCAAGTCATCTAGTACTTTTCTTATTCTACAGACAGGCTCACATGTCTTGTGCAACCAATCCATAACTACGTCACCAATGCCACCTTTCAACACTTCCCGCTTGTTCCACGCACTCCTGCAATCTTCCCTAAATTAGCTTACAAATGGCTCCTCTACCTCATTGTCTCTTACAGTTCCCTGGGGTTTAAATTTTCATACTTCTTTCTTCCATTTACATACATTTCCCTCCTCCTCTTTTTTTTTTTACCTCTAAAGACTGTTTTAACTACAGAATTCAGCAGCCAACATAACCCAAAAAATGAGAAAACAATGCGAAATTTATCTAAATAGAGTGATGCTGTTATATTACAATATCTGGAAAAAACTAGCCATTTTGGGCAATGATGGAAGAAAAATTTCCTCTAAAACTAATACCATTTTGTAATGTCTATTGTAACAATATGCACCTGAAACTCAATGTAAACCACTAGTATAGCTTACTGATAAAATTCTCAGTTAGCTATCAGCAAACCTAGCAATAAGGTCACAAACATTGCAAACAATTGGTTTACAAACTCTTATTCCTGTAAAGTTTACAAACTTTTAGTCTAAGACCCAACAGGAAGAACTAAGCCAGAGACTTAACAAGACCACAGAGCTTATCCCTAGAGGATGAAAAACCCGACATTACAAGCCACATTTGACCACTCTCTAGAGTTGCCAGAGTTCACAATCCTTGCCACTACAGAGAGATTGTGTTATAAAATGGTTATAAACACATCAAAATAAAATCAAGACTCCCACTACAATGCAATACACAGCAGGATAAGGAACATGTACACTAATGTATATCCAAAGGAGTTGAAGATCTGATGCAAAACATTAACCCAATACAAATGCTAGCTGAATGTAGCGACATGTTTTACGGAATAACAGCACACCACACCCAATTAGTGTGCATCCCTCAGATTTAAAGTAAATCTGTGGGCATTACTGAAACATCAGTTGTTTCAGTAATGCCCACAGTTGTGAAGAGCTTTCAATGTACACAACACAGTTTGACTGACCAACTGAGTCAATGGAATTTAAGCTCAAAATCTCAGGTTATTCAGCACTAGAAGAAGTATTTAAATAAACACTAAGTAGTAACTAATGTGATTATTATTCACTACTGTGTATTATTCCCAATGTTTTATTATGCAAGCCATACTCCCTCTTCTGGTTTGTAAACTCCTAACACATGAGAATATGATTAAGGAGTTGGATACAGTACATGTCACATTAGAGAACCGGTGGTTCTCTCCATTACACTGATGCTAAGGTCAAACTAAACATTTTTCTTCCACTTGTATCCTAATCACTTTAAGTATTAGTAATAAAGAATTATTTTATTAGATTTCTGCTAATAGTTGCATTTAAAGCTCACTATAGATGTGGCTTTATTTTATGAAAGCAATTAACCCTTAAATGCTGCAATACATACATGTATGTATGTATGGACATGGAACACAGTTTCTCAAACTTGATCAAACACTTTCAAATATTTTGTGCATAATCTACTAGCAAGTGCTCCAACTTTATCTAAATGATCACCAATGTAACTTGAAAAACAAGAAAATAAAGAATAATTCTAAAATTGAATATTGAAAACTTCAGATTTTAAAATCAGCTGAAAAAGTATAAAATATCACCTATTGTTCATTTGGTGTTATTATGCTCTCAGAATAGCATATGATCTTCATTTTCTTAGATTTAGAATATAGGCTTTCAGTATAGTTTACTGTAAAAAAAAAAAAAAATCAATATGGCATTTGAAAATAGGCACCAAATTTAAACAAAAAACCAGTGTTGAATGTAATGAAACACAATTTTCTGGGTGAGTCCCAGAGGCTCCCCGGAGCTATCCAGGCTGATAGGGATAATCCTAACGTTTGGCTTCAGTCGATGTAGATGGAGTTCTAGGCCTACTGGGGACCACGAGCCAGAACCTGGCCCCCCTCAGAGAGGCACAAGGAGCAATGGCCCATAGAATGCAAATGTGATTTTGGAGTATTCCATATCTGCCATCGACCGGGACAGTCACCCAGAAAGGTAAGCACCACAAAACAAACCCCTTTTCTGGTTAAAAACAACGAAAATGGACAAATGAGTGGACAGAACTCCCC